AGCACCCACCAGAGAAGGGACAATGGGTGAGCTCGCTGCTCTGTCCTCCCAGCCTGCCTCTGTTGTCCGGGTGATTTCTCCACCTGATCTTGTCGAGGTGGGCAGAGGTCTCTGTACAGATCTCCACTAGATTTTCAGAGGTCATCCTATGCTTGGGACGGTCACAGTGCAGTGTTCAGAACGGAGGGTCAGGGACTTACTTCCCTGCTACAGGCAGAGGGGCTGCATCCAAGAGCCCTCTACTGTTCTCCACCCACCAGCAACCTCCACCGAGGCCCGGGCATGCGTGCCTTTGGCTCTCCCACTCACAGGCGTACTTTGGAGGTGAGCAGTAGCTTTCCTTACCCCTGCCCGAGGAACTGAAGGGAGAGACTCCAGCTAATGTTCTTATCCCCAGCCACCTGGTCCCTATTAACATCATCGCACGAGTTCCAAGGTAAGCACGTGTCTTTTAAAATCATTTTACTACTCCCAGGTATCGTTGTTGGTTCTTTATTAAAAGCCACCACAGCCTTAAAAATGAGGCTCATGTTCAGCTCTATCCCAGTGCTGGGTCCTTGGTGACAATCTTCCCCTTCTGTTCTTGTGTGGTTTACAGCAGTATCTAGGATTTCTTAGGGAGAGGCTGCAGTTTCTCCCAGACTGTGTGTCTCTGCTGAGCTCTGTGTGCACAAAAGAGTAACAACTAAAAAGAGGAGGGGATCGCTTCTGATTGTGTTATCGTACGTATGGGCATTCCTCAAGGCTGGGAAAACATATCTGATGGGGAAGTCCTGTGTATATGTCAATAAAGCACTGTTGGCCAATAGGGAAGCAAGATAGGTGGGACTAGGAATCGAGGAGGATTCTGGGAAAGAGAGACACAGGGAGTCATCATGTAGCCACCATAGAAGTAAGAGGTCCGAACCCTTTCTCTGGTAAGATTAGATTAGCAATTATGGGTTAAATACTTAAATCAGAGATAACCAGTAAGAAACCAAGCAAACAGCCAACAGCGTCATAATTAATATGGCCTCCTGTGTTTATTTGGGACTGATGCGGCTCTGGAACCAGGCTGGCAGGAAGGCTGCACTTAACACATATCTACTGTCAGATGCCACCATATGGCTTATGCCCATAGACCCAGATGCTCAGAAGTCTGCAGCAGGAGAATCATCTCAGTCCAAGGGTTCAGGACCAGCCTGGATAACTTAGCAGGACTGTCAATGAGGCAAAACTATTCAAGAGTGCTAAACCAGGACGAATGAAAAAAGGGTGGATTAAACCTAGTCAGAATTTACTCCCCTTCCAGAGAGTGGTGGCGACCCAGAAGGGAGATTCTCAGAAGGTGGCAGAGAGCAGGGGTGCCGAGTACAAAGCAGGTCCTTGGTCAGAATCCACGAAAACCATGTTGAGAGAGGAGATGGAGTTTGCTAAAGTAGGAGACGCTGTTCCCAGAAGGAAGGAGACATTCTCAGAGCCCAGATCCGGCCGTGCAGTTGTACTTTGCTCAGCATTTTCACACCGACTCGGGTTCATTTTCTCTCCTCTCAGTAGCTGAACTGTGTAAAAACAACTACAGCCAGGGGGCTGAAGGAGAAGGCTCCGTGGATAAAAGCACCGGCCACCAAGCCTGATGACTAACTAGAGTGGAATCCCCAGGATTCACACGTCCTCTGAATGCTACATGTTCCCTGTGGCACCTTCATGACCTTCCTCCCACATACATGCACAAGAAACAAGTAAATGTTGTTCTGGAAGACTCCAGCTGTGGGAGGAGGAGCAAGGGCCAGTCTGTTTCTGACCATCATTAACTTCAGTCTCTTGGGCTGAGTCTTCAGGTCAGAGGTCAATTATGACCCTGGGAATACTTGACAAATGCCACTCTGGAATGCATCCTCTTCCCGATGGGTCCCACATCTTCATGCTCAGGCTGAACGTGGTCTTTTTTCCTCCCTAAGTATGACTATGGAAACAGGTGACTGACATCCTATTTATTTCAATAAGGGAGTTTTATACCTAGCTACATGTGCACAAGATGCTTCCTGGAATTTTCCAGGTATTTAACCCATCCTCTTGGAAAACAAAAGTCTTGGGTATAAGATTCATATCCAAGATTCAGTGGATCGATATCTGCTGATTAATCACATATAAAATGTGCCAGTGAACGGGGCAAGGTCAATATAGAAGCTGGACTCTGTTTTCATGATGGGAGAAACTGTCAGTGTCAGTCCCAGAGACAGCAATGACCAAGACGAGAGGAAACAACACAGACAGCAAATAATGCAAGGGGAAATCAGAAAAGTGTCTGAATTTGGTTGGAGGAAGGCATGGCTTCTAGTCACACACATGCCATCCTACCAATTGATAATAGAGAAGGGAACAAGTGAAGTGACTTCCACAGGACACCAGGAGGCTGGAAAAACAGTCTGCAACACTGCCAAGCCCTAAGAATGGGTGAGCGACTTTGGTGTTCAAGGTGGGAATCAGGAATACGAACTGCAAGGCGTCTTGTGTGTGGTTATCAGGGACACCATTCGTGAAACAGGGGAGGTTGAAGAAATCCCTGGGTTGTGCCAGCATCATCAGGATATGGATGGTCCTGCAACCTACTTTACAAAAGAAAAACTTGGTGGCCTAAAGCCTAGTGCCACCTAGCTCACAGAACCTGTGGGTCAGGATCAGTATGGTTCAGTGCAATCTGTGACTCAGCTCCTCTAACAGATTATTGCCCCTTCCGTGGCTCTCAGGGGATTCGGTTACTCATGGATTGTTCTCTGAGGGACCTCAGTTCCTTGGCTGGTGGCTGAACACTTTCTCTCTGTTCCCTGGATATACCGGTCTCTCCACAGGGTAGATTACAACATGGTGGTGACTCTCTTTCCTTGGAACAAACTAGCAAAAGAGAGGAAGAGAGCAAGAGGATAGAGTCAGAATCCTTTATTGTCTCCTTCTTTTTCCACACTGGATAGGAGAGGTTTACCCAAAGGGGACCATTGCAGAAACTGCCTATCACTGGGGCCATTGCAGAAACTGCCTATCACTGGGGCATTGCTAGGGTCAGACTCTGTCAGATGTAGTCATGTTGGGCCCAGAAATGTTTGTGTCTGTATGCTCTGACCTACTTTCTCATGCTGAAGACTCTGTTAAAATGAAACAGGGCTGCAAGGCAGTGGTGGTGCATGCTTTTAATTCCAGGGCTTGGCAGAAGCAGGTAAATCCCTGAGTTCAAGGCCAGCCTGGTCTCCAGAGTGAGTTCCAGGACAGCCAGAGCTGTTACACAGAGAATCACTGTCTTTTTCCTTTCTTCCTCCCTCTTTCCCTCCCTCCCTCTCTCCCTCCCTTCCTACCTTTTAGTATTTTGAGACAGGGTTTCTCTATGTAACAGCCCTAGCTGTAGCACAAATAATAAAACCCCAGAGGCAGATATTGGGGTTCAAGCTGAAGATCAGAAAAGCGAAGCAGCTAGCTACCAGAGAGTTCTCACCTCTACCAAGACTGAGGTGATCCTATCCTCAGCGTGACTGAATGCACTACACTCCTGTCTCCTCTGCCTTATATTCCTCTCTACTGCTGGGATTAAAGGTGTGTGCCACCACTGTCCAGCTTCTATGGTTAACTAGTGTGGTTAACTAGTGTCTACCACCACTGTCTGACCTCTGTGGCTGACTAGTGAGTGGGACTAGCTTTGCATTCTAATCTTCAGGCAAGCTTTATTAGATCATAAACAAAATATCACCACATCTAGCTGTCCTAGAATTAACTGTGTAGACCAGGCTGACCTCAAACTCACAGAGATCCATCTGCCTCAGCCTCACCTTAAAGGTGTGTGCCACCACTGCCCATCAGGAGAAAACCTGAAAGGGTAATTTACAAAAGAAGTTGTGGTTTAGGAAGCTAACAGTTTAGAAAAGAAAAACCAAGGGCTTATGGGAAGTTGAGAGAACTATTATATAAGTAAGCTATGTATTTAAATATTTAAGTTGTCTCTCAAGTTCCTAGACTAGACAAATAGACTCGTTTACATGGAAGCAAAATGTTACTTAAAGACAGTGTAAAGTCCTGAGACTTTTGACTGTCCTCAGACACCAAACCACGCTTTAAAGAGGACAAAACAATACCGATACAGGACTGCCCCATTGTAAGAGCTCCTATGCATCTAAGATGGCTAAATTATAGGCAACTAAGGACTGTTTCCATAAAAGGAAATTGGGAATAAAAGGTCTGTGAACCAGGCACCAGTGGCAAACCCCTGTAATCCCTCCCAGCTCTCCCGAGGTGAGGCAGGAAGATCAGGAGTTCATGGCCAGCCTCAGCTACACAGTGAGGCTGAGGACAGTCTGCACTACCTGCGACCCTCTCTCAAAAACAGAACAAAACGACAACAAAACCCAACTGGTTTTAGAACTTGGATAGGTGTGTCATTGGTTAATGTCTGTTTAATCAAGTCCATAAAACCAGACAGAAAGTAAGCAGTGCGTGTGCCAAAACTGTTAAAATCCAGATTCATGTGCAAAAGAGAGTCACGCGCCCATTTTCGTATATATGGAGCGCATTCTTTAAAATCCAGACAGACTCGGGCGACCTAAACTGGTTTGAAATGTGGGCAGCGCTCCAATCTGTTAGGTCTCTCTAAGGAAATTACGCCAGGGAGCGGACCTCACTAAAAGTGGAGAGTCTGGGGGCGGACGCTGGGCGCGCACGCCGTCTCTTATAAAATGTATTCTTGTCGCTATCTGACTGGTTGGCCTCTTCAGATCCCCCTTTCTCATTGATCTGCGTCCCAGTCGATCATTTCCAGACCCAAGCAACCCATTGGTCCGCCGCGACGCTCGGGCAGGAGGGGTTCTCCAGTGACGTCAAAGATGCTCTCCGCCCACATTCCGAGGTCTGGGCGGAGACTTCCCGCGACTCTGCCCCTGGGGGCGGGACATGGACGAGACGGGGACTCCTGATACGCTAGACTTGGCAAGGCGGGCGTCCGATTGGTCACCGGGCTGGGAGGAGGTGGGGTCGCCTCTGGGTTCCCTGAGCCGAGCTCTAGAGCCCAGGGGAGTCTCAAAGTTTGTCCGGAGCCCTAGTGGGGGGAGTGGGCTTGTCGCGCGAGGGCTTTCTTGGCACGAGCACCGTCTCCTTGCCTGCCTTTCGGATGCACAGCCCGGTTTAACTCCTGCACCCCAGGCCCGAGCCCGGCAGGCTTGTCCTCCCCGGGGATTCGCACGTCTCGGAGGACACGGGTCGCGGGGCTGTCGGCGGGGCTCTGCCGGGTCCACGCGCGCACGCTCGAGCGCTCGCCCGCGGGGAGAGGCGTCTCGCCGGCCCGTGGCGGCTCTGAGCGGTCCCCTCGTGCCTCAGCATCCCCGGCCCCGCGCGGGGCTCCCACCGCCATGGAGGTGCTGGAAAGCGGGGAGCAGAGCGTCCTGCAGTGGGACCGCAAGCTGAGCGAGCTGTCAGAGCCCGGAGAGACCGAGGCCCTCATGTACCACACGGTGAGGACCCGCGGCCCGGGCTGGGAGTGCTTGGAGGAGAAAGGCGGTTGTTGTCACCAGCTGGAGACCTGGGAGCTGGGAGGCAGCGTCGTCTGGGGAAGGGGCATGGCCGTAACGAGAAGTCTGAGGATGGAGTCTTCCTCTGTGAGCACACGATGGTGCACAGCTGGGGCCTTTAAACTTTCTTCCGAGTAGTGGCCCTTTGTATTCCAAAGTATCATACTATTTTCCTAACGGTAGCCCCTCTTCCTAAGGCTAACGGTACAGCAGTGTTGGGAAGGGGATGTGTTTTGAGGATAATGCCTCCGCCCAGTTACATTGATTTTTGTGGTAAGATTTGTTTGTTTGTTTTAAATTGGACAAGATAATGTAGTATTTTCTTTCCATCTGTTTCTTATCTTCTCCCCCTTTCCTGTTCCTTAACTTTAAAAAAAATTATATCTTTAAAATGTACGTGTGAGTTGAAAAGCCTTCTTTCTCCACACGGGACAGCGGGGGCCAGCCGCCTGCCTTACTTAGCTGCTTCAGCTACCCAGCCTTGAAGATCGGCTACCTCCCTTTTCAGGGGAAAGATCTCCGAGAAGTCCGGAAAATCTGAGGCAGCTGCATATTTCAGAGAGGCTTTGGGGGAGAGGTGGGACAACTCACCAGTTCCTTCCCGCAGAGACCTCTTGGGAACCTCAACTGCCTCAGAGGATGGCTCCTTTAAAGATGTCACTTTCAGACTTAAGTTTGCAAAAGGGTATCTTGTGCGTCTGATCGTCAGTGTTGGTAATATGGCTTTGTTCTCGATCATCTCCAAGTTTGTAATCAGACACACACACACACACACACACACACACACACACACACACACACACAAACTCTGAGGTAAGAACAGGCTTGGCTGCTTTCCTGCCTTGGTGCTGTTAATGGGGTCAGCGCCAGGATATTTGAAACTTTTGCAAAAAATCGGCCTGCAGGCTCCACCTCGTTGGCCTTTGCTGCTGGCTGACTGTATTTTGGGAAAAGGGATGGGACCTCCTTGCTGCTTCCTACCAAAGCGGCTGTGGTGGCTGAGAAGAGCTGGTTAAGAAAAGCCATGTGCAGGCTTGACAGGGAGTGGTGGTTCCCTCTGGGGCAACAGCCAGATGTTGAGTGTGATCCTGATCCTTTCGGCCTTTGCCCACTGTCCATCCCCAAGAAGCCTTTGGGTTAGGAGCCCAGATGTGCTTCGTGTGCTCCGGAAAGAACCTGAACGTGCTGACCCATAGCTGTTGCCTAACTTTGCAGGGGGGTGCTCCAGATGTTTCCCCTGGCACGAGTTACAGCTTGATCACGAGTGGAGAGGCGCTTGTTTTCAGCCACAGTCCTCACTGGGGACCTGCTTCAGCCAGCGGCTGCAAGGCCACCGATTCAGGCCACCTTGCAGCTGGTGGGATAAAATGTGCAGACAGCCACATTGCTGGATCCCCGAGGCTTTGAGGTGAGTCCCTACCTGAGGCTGGCAGGAACTGCAGGACAAAAGCTTGGCTTGGCTCCAGCTACCGTCTTTACAGTTTCAGAGCTGGGCACCTCGCATTCCCTTTGATATTAACAACTCAGGTTTTCGGTGTCGTTGTGGTAAAGCGGTGACGTGGGGTCATTTTTCTGATAATCCCCTGCTTTTCAGCAACTATTGTGGTCTCCAGACGAGTGTCTCCCTTTTGAACCGCTCAGGCATACAAAATGCCATTCATAATTGCTGCAAGTCATGAGTGTGTGTGTATGAGTCAGTGGTGATGGGGCCTACATGGCTGGATCTGAACCGGGGGCAAGTTTGGAAATGATTTGAAAACGGGTACATTCCCAGCTCCCTCTTGGACTCAGATGTCTGTACGCTGAGCTGTTCATGCAGTTCGTCCATGATGGCGGAGGGGGCTGATTCCCCAAGTAGGTGAAGTGATGGTCTGTTTTTGTTATGTTTTCATTCAAAGATGTTCGTTAACTTCGTATTTCCTGAATAATTTCCATGTGCCAAACAGTATTCTAGGCACGTGGGATACATAATGAACAAAAACAGACCAAAGCACGTGACTCTGAGTAGTTTACGTTTTTCGCACGTGTTTGCAGATGTGTTGGGAAAAACAGACAACACATGAGCATAAAGAGAAGCAAGCAATACAGCACGCTCAACGTTTTAATGGAAACAGTAAATGTAGACTAATGTCACCAGGATGGAGTCCTGGAGGTAGAGGGGCAGGGGATAGACCAGAACTGATGAGTAGTCTCCAAACGGGGGATTGAAGGAGGGGAGTGTTATCTCAGCAGGAGGAGAAGCCTGGGCACAGGCCAGCTGTCATCAGGTGGAGTACCTTGGGGACATGGACCATGTATTTGGCATCATCTTCTGCTGTAGGTTAGCCTATCTTGGTGAGTCATTTTCTTTGTAGATAGGGGCTACTTCCAAAATGCTGGAGCCTGAATTGATCCAGTGAAATTTTCTGAGTGTATTGAGAGGAGAACATGGGGGGGGGGGGGGTAGTGGGGGTGTAGATAAGACTGTCTTTGGGGAAAGTGTTAAGTAAAAGATGATGATAGCTCTGGTCTATACCTCAAAGAGGAGCCCCTGGTGTGTGTGTGTGTGTGTGCCCTTGAGCAGTCTCCCAGGACCCTTGGATGGATGGTGTCCTTTTACTATCTTCTGACCCTCCCCCCACCCTCTGTGTGTGTGTGTGTGTGTGTGTGTGTGTGTGTTTCTTTGGCCTGTGTGTGTGTGTGTATGTGTATCCGTGCGTGCATGCGTGCATGTGTATGTGTGTGTGTGTGTGTGGTGTGTATGTGTGTGTATGTTTCTTGGGCCTGTGTGTGTGTATGTGTATCCGTGCGTACATGCGTGCGTATGTATGTGTGTGTGTGTGTATGTGTGTGTGTGTGTGTGGTGTGTATCCGTGCGTACATGCGTGCGTATGTATGTGTGTGTGTGTATGTGTGTGTGTGTGTGTGGTGTGTATGTGTGTTTCGTGGGCCTGTGTGCATGTGCGTGTGTGTGTGTGTGTGTGTGTGTGTTTCATGGGCATGTGTGTATGTGTGTGTGTGTGTGTATTTTGTGGGCCTGTGTGTGTGTGTGTGTGTTTCATGGGCATGTGTGTATGTGTGTGTGTGTGTGTGTATTTTGTGGGCCTGTGTGTGTGTGTGTGTATTTTGTGGGCCTGTGTGTGTGTGTGTGTGTGTTTCATGGGCATGTGTGTATGTGTGTGTGTGTGTGTGTATTTTGTGGGCCTGTGTATGTGTGTGTGTGTGTTTCATGGGCATGTGTGTGTGTGTGTGTGTTTCATGGGCATGTGTGTGTGTGTGTTTCATGGGCATGTGTGTATGTGTGTGTGTGTGTGTATTTTGTGGGCCTGTGTGTGTGTGTGTGTGTATTTTGTGGGCCTGTGTGTGTGTGTGTGTGTGTTTCATGGGCATGTGTGTGTGTGTGTGTGTGTGTGTGTGTTTCATGGGCATGTGTGTGTGTGTGTTTCATGGGCATATGTGTGTGTGTGTGTGTTTCATGGGCATGTGTGTATGTGTGTGTGTGTGTGTATTTTGTGGGCCTGTGTGTGTGTGTGTGTGTATTTTGTGGGCATGTGTATGTGTGTGTGTGTGTTTCATGGGCATGTGTGTATGTGTGTGTGTGTGTGTATTTTGTGGGCCTGTGTGTGTGTGTGTATGTGTTTCATGGGCATGTGTGTGTGTGTGTGTGTTTATGGGCATGTGTGTGTGTGTGTTTCATGGGCATGTGTGTGTGTGTGTGTTTCATGGGCATGTGTGTGTGTGTGTGTGTGTTTCATGGGCATGTGTGTGTGTGTGTGTGTTTCATGGGCATGTGTGTGTGTGTTTCATGTGCATGTGTGTGTGTGTGTGTGTGTGTTTCATGGGCATGTGTGTGTGTGTGTTTCATGTGCATGTGTGTGTGTGTGTGTTTCATGGGCATGTGTGTGTGTGTGTGTGTGTGTGTGTGTGTTTTGTGGGCATGTGGAAGCCAGTGTTATTTCTCCACCTCCTTTGTTGTTTGAGACAGGGTCTCTCTTTGGCCCGGAATTTGTCACTTAGGCTAGGCTGGATGGGCAGTGAGCACCAGGGATCTCTGCTTCTTTTACGTCTCCCATGCTGGGATAGCAGGGATAGCAGGGATAGCAGTCTGAGATAGCAGGCCTGTTTGTTTTTTGTTAACAATGGTTCTCTGTTTTGAACTCCAGCCCTTGGGCTTGTGAGACAAGCACATTCTGGGATGGGCCTTCTCTCCAGCCCTTCTGTCACCATCTTAAAAACCTTGGTTATTTTTGAATAGGAGTCCTGTAAGTTTATTTTGCAAGGGTTCCCCCAAGTTTTGTTGGGGAAACAGATGCTCTACTAGAATGATGTTGTTTTCCTCTTTCTGAACCGCTGAGAGTCCTTGTTTGGTCTGTTTATTTCTCACCGTGGGTTCCAGCTATTGAACTAAGGTCCTCAGGTCTAGGTGTAGTTATGTGCCCCTTACCTGCTGAGCCATCTTGCTGTTTGAGCTTCCTCCCCTCCCCCATTAGTTTAATTTCATATATAAAAAAATAACTAAGGCGTGATGCTTTGGAGCATGTTGTGAGGTTTGGACCCCACAGCTAATTAGTAATGTAACCTGGATGCAAATCCAGATCTGCTATAGGTTGAAAACTCCTGACTTGAAGAAAGGTATCTGATTAAAAGGTTGGGAGAGAATGATAGGGTTATAGAAACTGCTGAGCCCCGGAGCAGCTCATGTTTAACTGGGGCTGGCCGCCTCTTCTGTGATCTTTTTTTGTTTTAAGTTGGGATTTAGCTAACATATCTGGTCACCAAGGCTCTGTTTTAACAAACCTCTCAATTCGTTTCAAAAAGAGAAAAGGTCCAAGTTGCCTAAGGCTGGGATTTTCTTTCCTGTATGTGTCTTGTGAACACGGAGAGCAGTGCTTTTCTTGTTTAGCTAGCCACGAAGACTTCTCTGTCCTGAAGGCTCAAGGCTTAGGGGAAACAGGTTTAAAGTC